TCTTGGCACGTTTCTCTCTTTTGCCCTCCATTTATGCCTCTTCAAATTCTACAGCACTGCTGGTCACAGCTGACCTCCAGTTAGATCCCTCAAGGGCCAGGGCTTCCCAGTTCTCGATGTCTATGCCAGAGTTTTTAAGGTTGGCTTTGAGCCCATCTTTAAATCTCTTTTCCTGTCCACCAACGTTCCGTTTTCCATTCTTAAGTTCGGAGTAGAGCAACTGCTTTGGGAGATGGTGGTCAGGCATCCGGACAACGTGGCCGGCCCAGCGGAGTTGATGTTGGAGGACCATCGCTTCAATGCTGGTGGTCTTTGCTTCTTCCAGCACACTGACGTTTGTCCGCTTGTCTTCCCAGGAGATTTGCAGGATTTTCCGGAGGCAGCGCTGATGGAATCGTTCCAGGAGTTGCATGTGACGTCTGTAGACAGTCCACGTCTCACAGGCATATAGCAGGGTTGGGAGGACAATAGCTTTATAAACAAGCACCTTGGTATCCCTACGGATGTCCCGGTCCTCAAACACTCTCTGCTTCATTCTGGAAAATGCTGCACTTGCAGAGCTCAGACGGTGTTGTATTTCGGCGTCGATGTTGACTTTGGTGGAGAGGTGGCTGCCAAGGTAGCGGAAATGGTCAACATTTTCTAATGTTCCGCTGTATCTCAAGCCCGAGGGCGACTCACAGCGGTTTCCAGACAGCAAACAACAAAGACAATAAAAGCAGCAAAACAATCAATATACCATAACAGTTAAACTACACATCTCCATTACTAGCTAATACAAACATCAATACACAGTTCTCCCAAAGCCCCCCCCCCCGATCGCCTCATCATCCAAGCGTGATCCAAATTCGACGTCCATTGTTCCGTTCCTATGTTCAAATTACCAGAATTGCACTGAATTACTCAAATGCCTGCACAAACATCCAGGTCTTCAACTTTCTACGGAATGTCATGAGAGATGGTGCCATCCCTCCCTCTTTCTCTCCTTCTTTCCCTTTCCTTCCTTTCTTCTTTTTCTTTCCCTATCTCTTATCTTTCTTCCATCTCTACCTGTTTCTTTCCTCCCTTTCTTTGCTCTTTGGTTACATCCTTCCTTCCTTCCCTATCTTTTGTTCCTTCTCTCCCTTCCCTCTCTTTTTCCTTTCCCTTTTTTATTTCCTTCTCTCCTTTCTTGCTTCTCTTTCTTTCTTTCTTTCTTTCCTTCTTTCCCTCCCTCCCTCTTTCCCTCCTTCTCTCGTTACTTCTTGACTGTCCCTTCCATTTAATATTGTATTTATCTCTTAGAAAGAAGGAAAGGAAGAAGGAAGGAAGGAGGGACAGGAAGGAAGGAAAAGAAAGGTGGGACAGGAAGGGAGGGAGGAAGGAAGGAAAGAAGAATGGGAAAGAAGGAGGAAAGGAAGGAGGGACAGGAAGGAAGGAAAAAAGGAGGGGGGAAGAAGGGAAGGAAGGAGAAAGGAAGGAGGGGAAGAAAGGAGGGAGGGAAGGAAATGAAGGGGAAGGAAATGAAGAAAGGGAAAGGAGGAAAAGGAGGGAGGAAAAGAAGGAAAGGAAGAAGGAAGGAGGGACAGGAAGGAAGGAAAAGGGGAGGGGAGGGAGGAGAAGGAAGGAAGGAGGGAGGGAAGGAAATGAAGCAAGGGAAAGAAGGAGGAAAGGGAGGGAGGGAGAAAAAGAAGGAAAGGAAGGATGGACAGGAAGGAAGGGAAGGAGGGAAAGAAGGAAAGGAAGGAGAAGGAAGGAAGGAAGGAAAGGAAGGAAGGAAGGGAAGGGAGGGAGAGAAGGAAGGTCCTTCATTCAAGCACCGTGGACCTTCCTCCTCCCCCCCTTCTTCGTTGCGTGGATGCTCCATTGCTGCTGCCGTCGCTGCTGCTTTCCCAACAGGGAGTGAGGGGGCGTGTGTGTGTGTGTGTGTGTGCGTGCCGCGGGGGGGGGGTGAGGGGGCGCACGCGCGTGTGTGTGTGCTGCGCGGGGGGGTGAGGGGGCGCGTGTGTGTGTGTCGCGCGGGGGGTGAGGGGGCGCGCGTGTGTTTGTGTGGGTGGCGGAAGCGTGCGGGGCTTGGACTCGGCGTGAGGAGGGTAAGAGGGAGGAGGGAGAGGTGGAATGGGTGTTGACGGTGCGGGAAGGGGGCGGGTGGAATGTGCGTCATGCGTGTGTGTGTGTGTTTGTGTGGGCGGCGGAAGCGTGCGGGGCTTGGTTGCATGTTTGTGGTGCGGTGTTTGTGTCGGCCGGGGCGAGGGAGGGCCGTCCGTCTTGGGAGCAGAGCGCGGCTGGAAGGGAGGGAGGAAAGTGTGGAGGGTGCGTTAGCCATTCGGCCATGTGTGCGCGCACGCCAGGGAGTTTGCGCCAGTGCGCATGCTCAGTAGTTTTGCCGTTTTTTGTGGTTGTTGTTGTGTGGTTTTGATTTTGGAGTGGATTAGTTTGTACCTAGTGGGTTGTCCTTGGGGCATGGCAATTTTGGTCCAGTTTTGTGGAGGGGTTTTAGAGTTTTGCTTCCCCGTAGGACGCCACGAGGAAATTTATAGATATAGATGGAGGTGGGATATAAAAATAAAGTTATTATTATTTTTAAATAAATAAGGGCCTTCCTGCCACTGCCCAAGTCTCACAGAGGCGCTGTAGCTTGGGCCTGAAGTATTTGCACAGGCTTGGTAGAAATCATGGACTCTGGAGACTTCTGGTTACAAAGCAGGTTTAATTTTCTTAGAGCAGTTCAAAACACGTCCATTACAGTAAGTAACAAAACGCAAAGTACATAATAGGCAGAACAGGATTTCAGGAAGGCCTCCTTTGACAAGGTCCCCCATGACCTTCTGGCAAGGAAACTAGTCCAATGTGGACGAGGCAAAACTTTGGTGAGGTGGATCTGGAATTGGTTAAATGGACGAACCCAGAGGGTGATGCTCCCCAAGGCTTCCTCTTCATCCTGGAAAGAAGTGACAAGTGGAGTGCCATCCGCAGGGTTCCGTCCTGGGCCCAGTCCTGGTCAGGATCTTCATTCATGACTTAGATGAAGGCTTAGAAGGCAGGATCATGAAGTTTGCAGACGACACCAAATTGGGAGGGATAGCCAATACTCCAGAGGACAGGAGCAGGAATCAAAACGATCTTGACAGATTAGAGAGATGATGGGCCAAAACTAACAAAATGAAGTTCAACAGGGACAAATGCAAGATACTCCACTTAGGCAGAAAAAACGAAATGCAAAGAGACAGAATGGGGGACGATGAGGCCTGGCTCGAGAGCAGTACGTGTGAAAAATCTTGGAGTCCTCGTGGACAACAAGTTAAACATGAGCCAACAATGTGATGTGGCGGCAAAAAAAGCCAATGGGATTTTGGCCTGCATCAATAGGAGCATAGTGTCTAGATCTAGGGACGTCATGCTCCCCATGCTCTATTCCGCTTTGGTTAGACCACACCTGGAATATTGTGTCCAATTCTGGGCACCACAATTCAAGAGAGATATTGACAAGCTGGAATGTGTCCAGAGGAGGGGACTCAAATGATCAAGGGTCTGGAGAACAAGCCCTATGAGGAGCGGCTTAAGGAGCTGGGCATGTTTAGCCTGAAGATGAGAAGGCTGAGAGGAGACATGATAGCCATGTATAAATATGTGAGAGGAAGCCACAGGGAGGAGGAGGGAGCAAGCTTCCTTTCTGCTTCCCTGGAGAACTAGGACGTGGAACAATGGCTTCAAACTACAAGAGAGGAGATTCCATCTGAACATGAGGAAGAACTTCCTGACTGTGAGAGCCGTTCAGCAGTGGAACTCTCTGCCCCGGAGTGTGGTGGAGGCTCCTTCTTTGGAAGCTTTTAAACAGAGGCTAAATGGCCATCTGTCAGGGGTGATTTGAATGCAATGTTCCTGCTTCTTGGCAGAATGGGGTTGGACTGGATGGCCCAGGAGGTCTCTTCCAACTCTTTGATTCTATGATTCTATGAAAGGAAGTAGAAAAGTAAACAATCCTGCAGCTGCTTGGCTGCTTGGCAGATATCAGATACTCCCTAATTTCTCTCACAACTCAGCTCAGAGAGTATCTCAGGGCTACTATCTCACAGCCTCAAACATAAACATACATCACAGCAATACAGTCTTGTCACAACCATATTACAACTACATGAAATTACATTTAAAACACATTACATACTTTAACATATTCTGACAAGGGCACCTGGTGTGAGTTCTGGGCCCCACTTGGTCTTGAGCTCCCTACTCTTGTTGGGGTTCAGCCTGCGCGTGAACCTGAACCTGATTCTCTGATTGTATTTCCTGATGCTACTGAACATGTATTTTTCCCTGATGGTAATGAAAATGTTGATTGTGAGGTCAGTGGCTTGGAAAGTGAAACTGTTTCAGAGCCAAGCGGTGATAGCTCTCCAGAGGAGTTAACACCTGGCTTCCTTAATGAGGATAGAAAAGGACAGATCTGGAAAAACAGGAGTGAATCGCAGAGTCTGCGAAGGTCAAGCAGATTAAGGGAAAAGGAAGCACAGGCTTCAAAGCCTGGAGGCGTGTCACGAAACAGTTTCTTCAGTTTTAAGTGCCTCTCGCCGGGTTGTCTCGTTAGATCAGGCATCGTTTAGACTGAGGCATTACCTTGGCAGATTTCCCTGTTTCCCGAGGCCTACATCCCAAGGGCCTTCTAGTGCTCCAAGTACGGTTAGTGGTTTGCTAACAGGTTCCAGGTTCTTACAGTGTTGCTTTTGGGTGTTCATGGATATTCCTGACTGCTGAATTTTACAGTGGCTTTTTGACTTTGCATTTTCCTCTATTTTGTAACCATTTTTCATCAATAAAAAGGGATTGTTTTTCCCCACAGTCAAGTGTGGTGGATTGTTATCTTATGGTCTCATTTCCTGCTCTGGGTTGCAACAACTCTCCCAGAGGGGAGGGCAGAAAGGCATTAGAGCCCTGTAGTTTCCCTCACAGCCCTCCCTCTTAACACTTCAGTCCCATGTCTCCTCTCTCTCTCTCTCTCTCTCTCTCTCTCTGTGCCCCCCAAGTACCTAGAGCTGCTCCTGGTGCAGTTGCGGGAAGTGGTGGAGAAGCACTCAGATCCAGAGGTGTTGGGAGCCGCCTCCCGCGCGCTGCACCTGCTCTGCCGCCCGGAGCTGCCCTTCTTCAGCCGCGCAGACTTTGCCCGCAGCCGCCTGGTGGACCACCTGGCAGACAAGTTCCAGCACAAAGCCAAAGAGCTGCTCCAGGTACCAAGACTTGGGTGAGGAATGGGGTGGGAGGAAGTGTGGGCCCACCATGCGGGAGGGACAGAATGAAAAGAATGCACACACCTAACAACCCAATGTATGTCCTTCACTCAAAAAATGGATTTTGTCATTTGGGAGTTGTAGTTGCTGGATTTATAGTTCACCTACACTCACAGAGGATTCTGAACCCCACCAACGATGGAATTGAACCAAACTTGGCACACAGTTCTCCCATGACCGACAGAAAATACTGGAAGGGTTTGGTGGGCAGTGTCCTTTGGTTTTGCAGTTGTAGTTCACCTACATCCAGAGATCACTGTGGACTCAAACAATGATGGATCTGGACCAAACTCTACACAAATATTCAGTATGCCCAAATGTGAACACTGGTGGAGTTTGGGGGAAATAGAATCTTGACATTTGGGAGTTGTAGTTGCTAGGATTTATAGTTCACCTACAGTCAAATAGCATTTTGAATCTCACCAACGATAGAATTGGGCCAAACTTCCCACACAGAAATCCCTATGTGGGTTTGAGAAACGCTGCTTTATCCCTAAAGGTGGGAAGAAGAGGAGGAGGAGGAGGGTGACAGGTGTGGCTTGGGTGGGGGTCTCCTTGCAAGGAGGAGCAAGGAGTGATCCCCTCCTTTCCTTCCCTGCCTCAGACTTCCTTCTTGGAAGAAGAGGAGGCGTACAGCATGGCTGCCACTCTGAAGCGCATTGCCATCCTCTACAGGTGAGTTAATGAGGCGCCGGTGCCGCTCTGGTCCACTTGGGAGCCCACTTGCCTTGGTTTTTGGAGGGGGGTTCAGAAGTGGTTGCGGGGGAGATTGGCTTGCTTTGCCCTCTTTATGGCTTTTGTGATGGTGGGTTAAAGGCCGCTGTGTCTATCTGGATGAGGAAGAACAAGCTGAAGATAAATCCCGACAAGACAGAGGTCCTCCTGGTCGATCGCAAACCGGATCGGGGTATAGGGTGGCAACCTGTGCTGGACGGGGTTACACTCCCCCTGAAGCCACAGGTCCACAGTCTGGGAGTCCTCCTGGATTCATCGCTCACGCTTGAGGCTCAGGCATCGGCGGTGTCCGGGAGGGCTTTTGCACAACTGAGACTCGTGCGCCAGCTGCGCCCGTACCTCGCAAAGGCTGATCTAGCCGGGGTGGTCCATGCCTTGGTCACCTCTAGACTGGATTACTGCAATGCGCTCTACGCAGGGCTGCCCTTGAAAACGGCTCGGAAACTCCAACTGGTCCAACGGGCAGCAGCCAGGATGTTAACTGGCGCTCCTTACAGAGAGAGGTCAACCCTCCTGTTCAAGGAGCTCCACTGGCTGCCGTTTATTTTCCGAGCCCAATTTAAGGTGCAGGTGCTTACCTACAAAGCCCTGAACGGTTTGGGACCAGCCTACCTGCGTGACCGCATCACAGTCTACGAACCCACACGTTCACTCCGGTCATCAGGAGAGGCCCTGCTCGTGATCCCGCCCGCGTCGCAAGCGCGCCTGGTGGGGACTCGAGACAGGGTCTTTTCTGTGGTGGCCCCCCGACTCTGGAACACCCTCCCAAAAGATCTTAGACAGGCCCCTTCCTTGGCAGTCTTCAGAAAGAACTTGAAGACCTGGCTGTTCCGATGTGCCTTTTCAGATTAGGAACCCCCAGTACCAAACCCTAGAAGCACTTTAATAGAATTAAGATCACTGCACACCGCACACTGCACCTATTTTATAATCCTACATACCTCCTGCCACATCAGCACTTTTAATCCTGTACCCACTACCCCGGCCTGGCCCAGTTTTTATAGTGTCTTGATGTCTCAATGTATTGTTATTGTTGTTGTTTACTTAATCTGTTTTTAATTTGCTCTAGGTAGTGTATTGTATTGTGTATTGAGGCCTTAGCCTTTGTAAGCCGCATCGAGTCCCTTGGGAGATGCTAGCGGGGTACAAATAAAGTTATAATAATAATAATAATAATAAAGGGAGGAGCCACATCTGTCGTTGGGCCATCAGGAGAGGCAGATAATAAATAAATTGTATTATTGTATTGTCGAATGCTTTCATGGCCGGAATCACTGGGTTGTTGTAGGTTTTTCCAGGTTATATGGCCGTGTTCTAGAGGCATTTTCTCCTGACGTTTTGCCTGCATCTATGGCAAGTCTTCCTCAGAGGTAGTGAGGTCTGCTGGAAATAGGAAAATGGGTTTATATATCTGTGGAATGACCAGGGTGGGACAAAGGATTCTTGTCTGCTGGAGCTAGGTGTGAATGTTTCAAATGCTAATTAAGGAGGTCAGTTGAAACATTCACACCTATGATTCTCTGATTCTCTTGTTGTTGTGCTTATTTTACTCTCTTGCCCACAGTGCTCACGATCTGTCTCCGTGGGGTTTCTTTGAGCCCTGCATGCGCCTCCTCCACCATGCAGTGGACACAGGAGAGGTCCCCCAGGAGGTAGAGTGACGAAGGGTGAAGGGTCTTCACTTATTTGGGCACTGATGGAGGGAGGGGGAGATGCAGGCGCTCCATCTGCACCCCACTTTCACCCCACCCACACCCCATTGTTGGGCTTCCCCAGAGAGAAAGGGAGAAGTAACTGTCCCCTGCCTGCCTTCGTCCTTCTCTCCTTGCAGGTGGTGACCTCGGCCATGACCTGCTCCCACTTCTCCCTTCTCTGGGAACTGGCCCATCTCTCAGGTTCGGCCGCTGAGCTTCCTCCCAGCCAGGTGAATGAGCATGGTTGTGTGAGGTGTCCCTTTTGCCATATCGCCCCCCGCCCAGACTTTACTGACACCCCCTTCTGCTCCCCCTTCCCTCCCCAGGAGCAGCTGCTGAACCTCAAAGAGAAAGTGGAGTCCTTCTGCTCTCTTTGCCAGAATTGCCTCATGGATGTGGATTCCAAGGTCCAGGAGCAGGTGGGTGACAGGCAGGGCCAAGACCTGCCTCATGCTGGGGAGGGAGGAGGGAAGATGGCTACTGGGCCTCTGCTGGCCTTGCCCACAAAAGTGGGGAGGCTCCAAACATCACCGTTTTGCTTCTTGCACTTCTGTCATGGCAGAAGCTTTGAGTGTCTTAAGGTGCGACTGATAGAAGAGTGCATCATAATAAAGGATTGATAGACAGCTAGAGAGAGAAAGAGATATTGATCACATAATTAAAGGTAAAGGTTTCCCCTGACATTAAGTCTAGTTGTGTCAGACTCTGGGGTGGCGGTGTGTGTGTGTGCTCAATTTCTAAGCCGAAGAACCAGCGTTGTCCATAGACACCTCCAAGTTGATGTGGCCAGCATGACTGCATGGAGTGCCACTCCCTTCCTACCAAGGTGGCACCTATTGATTACTCGAATTTGCATGTTTTTGAATTGCTAGGTTGGCAGAAGCTGTAGCTAAGAGCGGGAACTCACCCTGCTCCCCGGGTTTGAACCGCCAACCTTTCGGTCCGCAAGTTCAGCGTTTTAACCCGCTGCGCCACCAGAGGGCCCAGTCACATAATAGCCATAATAATAATAATAATAATAATAATAATAAAGATCAGGCAGCAGTTTAACCCGCTGCACCATCAAAGGGACTAATCACATAATAGTCTTAATAATAATAATGATTAATAATAATAAAGATCAGGCAGCGGTTTAACCCGCTGCGCCACCACACATAATAGCCATAATAATAAATAATAATAACAATAATAATAAAGATCAGGCAGCAGTTTAACAATGATTTTATGATGACGACTGACCATTGTAATTATATGACTGTATTTTGCTTTTTAATGTCTTAGTTTAGTGTAATTTGGAATACGGTGTTTTTAATGATTGTAATATTGATGTTGGAAACCGGCCTGAGTCCCTCGATGGAGGTGAGAAGACCGGGATACAAAACTGCTAAATTAATTAATTAATTAATTAACCCGCTGCACCATCAGAGGGCCCAGTCACATAATAGTCATAATAATAATAATAATGATTAATAATAATAAAGATCAGGCAGCAGTTTAACCCACTGCGCCACCAGAGGGCCCAATCACATAATAGTCGTAATAATAATAATAATAATAATAATAATAAAGATTAGTCAGCAGTTTAACCCACTGCACCATCAGAGGGCCCAATCACATAATAGTAATAATAATAATAATAATAATAAGAATAATAATAAAGATCAGGCAGCAGTTTAACCCGCTGCGCCATCAGAGGGCCCAATCACATAATAGTCATAATAATAATAATAATAATAATAATAATAATAAAGATTAGTCAGCAGTTTAACCCACTGCACCATCAGAGGGCCCAATCACATAATAGTAATAATAATAATGATTAATAATAATAAAGATCAGGCAGCAGTTTAACTCGCTGCACCATCAGAGGGCCCAATCACATAATAGTCGTAATAATAATAATAATAATAAAGATTAGGCAGCAGTTTAACCCACTGCACCATCAGAGGGCCCAATCACATAATAGTCATAATAATAATAATAATAATAATAATAATAATAAAGATTAGTCAGCAGTTTAACCCACTGCACCATCAGAGGGCCCAATCACATAATAGTAATAATAATAATAATAATAAATAATAATAAAGATCAGGCAGCAGTTTAACCCGCTGCGCCATCAGAGGGCCCAATCACATAATAGTCATAATAATAATAATAATAATAATAATAATAATAAAGATTAGTCAGCAGTTTAACCCACTGCACCATCAGAGGGCCCAATCACATAATAGTAATAATAATAATAATAATAATAATAATAATAATAAAGATCAGGCAGCGGTTTAACCCGCTGCGCCATCAGAGGGCCCAATCACATAATAGTCATAATAATAATGATTAATAATAATAAAGATCAGGCAGCGGTTTAACCCGCTGCGCCATCAGAGGGCCCAATCACATAATAGTAATAATAATAATGATTAATAATAATAAAGATCAGGCAGCAGTTTAACCCGCTGCGCCACCAGAGGGCCCAATCACATAATAGTCATAATAAAAATAAAAATAATGATTAATACTAATAAAGATCAGGCAGCGGTTTAACCCGCTGCGCCATCAGAGGGCCCAATCACATAATAGTCATAATAATAATAATAATAATAAAGATCAGGCAGCAGTTTAACCCGCTGCACCATCAGAGGGCCCAATCACATAATAGTCGTAATAATAATAATAATAATAATAATAATAAAGATCAGGCAGCGGTTTAACCTGCTGCGCCACCAGAGGACTCAATCACATAATAGCCATAATAATAATAATAATAATAAAGATCAGGCAGCAGTTTAACCCGCTGTGCCACCAGAGGGTCCAGTCACAGAATAGCCATAAATAATAATAATAATAATAATAATAATAATAATAATAATAATAAAGATCAGGCAGCGGTTTAACCCACTGCGCCACCAGAGGGCCCAATCACATAATAGTAATAATAATAATAATAATAATAATAATAATAATAATAATAATAAATAAAGATCAGGCAGCAGTTTAGCAGGCGAAACGTCAGGAGAGAATGCCTCTAGACCATGGCCATATAGCTCGAAAAAACCGAACGGATTCTCCCCTATGAACCATCAAGGCTATTAAGATCTTCCAGGGGGGGCCTGCTCTTGGTCCCACCACCCTCGCAATCACGGTTGGTGGGGACGAGGGACAGGGCCTTCTCGGTGGTGGCTCCCCGGCTTTGGAACTCCCTCCCACTAGAGATTAGATCTGCTCCCTCCCTCCTGACGTTCAGGAAACTACTAAAGACCTGGCTCTGGAATGTGGCATTCGAGGACTGAATCTATAACCTCCTTCCACAAGGAAGGAGGATGATGAACTGCGACTATGATTATGACTATGACTATGACTGGATTGACGACTTGGCTTAGGTAATTGTGATGATGATGTTTTTATTGTACTTTATTGTACTATTTTAATATGTAATGACGTTGCACTTTGTTGTACTTATATATTATTGTACTTTCATATATGCTGTAAACCGACCTGAGTCCCTCGCTGAGGTGAGAAGGCCGGTATAGAAAACTTCTAAATAAATAAATAATAAATAAAAACCTACAACAACCCAATAATAATAATAATAATAATAATAATAATAATAATAATAAAGATCAGGCAGCAGTTTAACCCGCTGCACCATCAGAGGGCCTAATCACATAATAGTCCACATTATTATTATTATTATTATTATTATTATTATTATTAATAATAAAGATCAGGCAGCGGTTTAACCTGCTGCGCCACCAGAGGGCCCAATCACATAATAGTCATAATAATAATAATAATAATAATAATAATAATAAAAAATAAAAATCAGCCAGCGCTTTAACCCTCTGCACCACCAGGGGGCCCAATCCATAGTAGTAGTAGTAGTAGTAGTAGTAGTAGTATTTATTTATTTATTTTATTTACTTTGCTTATATACCGCTGTATCTCAAGCCCGAAGGCGACTCACGGCGGTTCACAAACAGTAAAAACAGTAGAAACAGCAGTGGTTCCATACAACATATAACAATTGACTTAACACATTATCCATAAATTACCAATAAGCAGTTACAATGCACAATTATTACAAAAAACAACCGTACCCAATCTTCTCATCATCCAAGCGTAGTCCAGGTTCGTCGTCCATTGTTCCATTCCTATGTTCCATTACCAGATTGCACTAAATTACTCAAACGCCTGCACAAACATCCAGGTCTTCACTTTCCTGCGGAATACCATTAGAGATGGTGCTAGTCTAATGTCCGTAGGAAGGGCGTTCCACAGCCGAGGAGCCACCACCGAGAAGGCCCTATCTCTCGTCCCCGCCAGCCGTGCTTGAGAAGCAGGCGGGATCGAGAGCAGGGCCTCCCCGGAAGATCTCAAAGTCCTGGTGGGTTCATAGGCAGAGATGCGGTCAGATAGGTAGCTTGGGCCGGAACCGTTTAGTAGTAGTAGTAATAATAATAATAATAAAGATCAAACTGCAAAGACTCTGGCACAACCCAGTCAAGGGGGTCCCAGTGGTGCTCAACACACTGGGCGCAGTGCCTCAAGACCTTGGTCTACACCAGTGGTTCTCAACCTGGGGTCCCCAGATGTTTTTGGCCTTCAACTCCCAGAAATCCTAACAGCTGGTAAACTGGCTGGGATTTCTGGGAGTTGTAGGCCAAAAACATCTGGGGACCCCAGGTTGAGAACCACTGGTATAGAGTTACAGCCTGTGCTGGATGGAGTAACACTCCATCTGAAGCTGCAGAAGGCCACCCTACTGAGATCTGCATGTATTATTTGCTCATACATCAGAGAGCCCTAGACACTTGGGAAGTCTCCAACGTGGGATCGAATACAAAAGCCAGCATCGTGATCTTGTTTGCTGTGTACTAATCTTGTTGTCTGTCAAATAATAATTATTATTTACTGGTTGCCACTGCTGTCCCTGGCCTCCTTGTCTCCCTCCCAGGCCTTTGTGCTCCTGAGCGACCTCCTCCTCATCTTCAGCCCACAGTCGACCCAAAGAGGAGGAGGAGGAAGCAATGAGGGCCTGGCGGCTCTGACCTATCAAGCGGACCCGGCTCTGCACTCTCAGATGGCGGGGTTCCTGGTAGACCACGTCTTCAACCACTGCCAGGATCAAGGTCAGGGAGGGGTAGCCCTGCTTTTTTTTGGGGGGGGGGGGGGGTGTTGTGGAGCCTGGGATGAGCAGGATGGACACGATCAAAGTCTCTTCCCCCCCTCTTTCCGCTTTTTGGCTTCAGACAGCATTGTGGGCGAAGAGGAGGACAGCGAAGCGCTCCACATTGAGCGCCTGCACCAGCGTCGCAACCTCCTGGCTGGGTTCTGCAAGCTGGTCATCTATGGGGTGCTGGAGCTGAGCGCTGCCTCGGATGTCTTCAAGTACTACGCCAAGGTGCGTGTGAGCAGGAGGGAAGGGTGCCCATCTGGGCCAATCCTGGAGCCTGCAATGGGTGGTATGTCTCTATGTGGGGGCTGTTCCCTGCCTGAGACCCCTCCAGTGCCTCCTGGCTTGCTTCCTTGCCTGCAAAGGGTCCTCTGGAAGGGGTCAGTTCCTCTACTGGCCACAAAGAACACAGCCGATGGGAACTGGGGTCTGCATCCCACCCATAATGCCCCTTCCCAGCTTTTCCCAAGAAGTTTCCAGTGTTGTTGTTCTTCCCGGTCACTTCTAGAGAATCCTAACCTCCTCTTCTCCTTCTGCCCTTTGCTTTCTGTGGCAGAGAAAAAAAGAATCCTTCAGTTCCAGAGGCCTGGTGGACAGGTGGACAGATCTTTCTATAGCCCACTGTCCGAGAGGCCTGCTTCCCCAACCTCCCCTCTTCGATAGATACGTAAATGCTAGATATGTGGAAGGGTTCGACTGTTTGACCAGAGACAAACTAACCCGTTTGGAAAGGTTTGGCCATCCTTTTTAGCAGAAGACTAACTGCACCCGTTGCTGTGGTCAGCCTTCCCTCCCTCTTTCTCTCCTCCTTTCTTTCTCGCCTTCCGTTTTTTCTTTCCTTCTCTCCTTCCTTCCTTCTCTTCCTCTTCCCTTCCTTCCTTCCCCTCCCTTTCTTTCCCTTCCTCTTTCTCTCCTTTCTTCCTTCCTTCCCTTTTTTCTTTCCTTCTCTCCTTCTCTTCCTCTTCCCTTCCTTCCTTCCCCTCCCTTTCTTTCCCTTCCTCTTTCTCTCCTAATTTCTTTCTCTCCTTCCCTTTTTTCTTTCCTTCTCTCCTTCCTTCTCTTCCTCTTCCCTTCCTTCCTTCCCCTCCCTTTCTTTCCCTTCCTCTTTCTCTCCTCTTCCTTCCTTCCCTTTTTTCTTTCCTTCTCTCCTTCTCTTCCTCTTCCCTTCCTTCCTTCCCCTCCCTTTCTTTCCTTTCCTCTTTCTCTCCTAATTTTCTCTCCTTCCCTTTTTTCTTTCCTTCTCTCCTTCCTTCTCTTCCTCTTCCCTTCCTTCCTTCCCCTCCCTTTCTTTCCCTTCCTCTTTCTCTCCTCCTTTCTATCTCTCCTTCCCTTTTTTCTTTCCTTCTCTTCCTCTTCCCTTCCTTCCTTCCCCTCCCTTTCTTTCCCTTCCTCTTTCTCTCCTTTCTTCCTTCCTTCCCTTTTTTCTTTCCTTCTCTCCTTCTCTTCCTCTTCCCTTCCTTCCTTCCCCTCCCTTTCTTTCCCTTCCTCTTTCTCTCCTTTCTTCCTTCCTTCCCTTTTTTCTTTCCTTCTCTCCCTTCCTTCCTTCCTTCCTTCCTTCTTCCTTCCTTCCTTCCTTCTTCCTTCCTTCCTTCCCCTCTTTTCTTTCCTTCCTCTTTTTCCCTTCTTCCTTCTCTAACTATTCTTGGAACTGCAACTCCCAGCAGTTCTCCTGATCAATCCTATCGATCTCTATCTAATCTATCTGGAGGATTTCTGGGAGTTGCAGTCCAGGAACAGGAAATTGGAAATCTGCAGGGATTGGGATGCTCTCAAATAAATCCAAGGAGAAGAAAGTTTGCATCTTGGAAGCAGTGCATTTGGATCATCTTCCTCTCCTAAAAGGCCTGGTCTAGGGGATGCTGGGAGCTATAGTTCCAACAGACCTCACAACCTCTGAGGATGCTTGCCATAGATGCAGGCGAAACGTCAGGAGAGAATGCCTCTAGAACATGGCCATATAGCCCGAAAAAACCTACAACAACCCAAATACGCAGTACTTCGTAAGATACACATATTAAAACATACATCCATAAAATGTGTATCAAAATACGCACACAGTTTAAAATCCACCATTAAAACTGCGTAGCCAGATTCCATAGCACCAGGTTCCATAGTGTTCAGGTCACAAGAGCCCCGCAAAACCCACTTATTTCCAGGCTTAGAGAGGCACCCCTTTTGTCACACCTGCTTATATAGAACTGCAGATTTTGCTGAATCATTGCATCCATTTAACCCTTTGTGTGCTTGACTCACATTTTTGCAACTAGTCAATTTTTAATATTTCTTGACAGCTCCAGGCTGCCTCGCCTGCTTCTGTGGAGACCCCAAACCAGACTGAACTGGGGGGACTGGCTGGCATTTGGGAGGAGGGCGCCCTTGCCCCATTGCTAAGAGATCCTGTGCCCCTTTCCCCCTCCTTTGAGACCCTAGGCCAGTGATGGGCAACCTTTTGAGCGTGGTGTGTCAAAATTCGCCAAAAAACTGAGCATAATTCAGGTGGTGTGTCACTTCAAGAAAAAAACCATAATTTCGCAATATTTAGTTTAAATAACAAAAAATGTATAATTGTAATTCCCACTTTCTCTCTTATCATGTTGTTCTACCTCTCTTTATGTAAATAATATCCTTTTTGGAGTGTTTAATAAAAATATAATTTTAAAAACCCAACAAAATATTACTTATTTTAAATTTAATTTAAATGTATTTCTAGCATTTAATATGCTATTTAATGTATTTCTAATAATAATAATAATGCAATAACAATAAAGTAACATTGCAAAATAATATTTTGATATTTAATTTACCATTTCATTTAAGGCATATATATATCTATATATATAGGCATATATTTAAAAATATTTAAAATGCATTAAATTAAATGTCAAATTAAAATTCAATTTACCATTTCATTTAAGGCATTCTGAAATATTTGAGTAATATAGCAAAGTATTATTTATCATTTAATTTATTTAAATATGTAACTCCTTAATATTTAGGAAACAATGCAAAATAATATTCGTTTCCTTAATAATTAAATAAACCAATATTATTTTGCAATGTTACCTAAATATTAATAATTAAATATTTTTAAATTTGACATTTAATTTAATGCATTTTAATATTTGAATAATATAGCAAAGTAATAGTATTTTATCATTCAGTTTAAATATGAAACTCCTTAATATTTAGGTAACATTGCAAAATAATAATTTCTTTCCTATTTATTTTTTATTATTATTTATTATTATTATTTATTATTATTTATTATTTTTTATTTTTTAAAATGGCATAAAATAAATAAACAATATCTGGCAGGCGCGTGTCAGTACAAATGGCTACGCGTGTCATAGGTTCGCCATCACGGCCCTAGGCATCAGAGCCCCATGTGGCTTCAGGCTGCAAAGGAGGAGGAGGTGGCGGCGCTGACCTCCGCCTGACTCTCGGCTCTTTTGCCGGTCCAGTACTACAATGACTATGGGGACATCATCAAGGAGACGCTGAATCGGGCCCGCCAGATCGACCGGACAGAGTGGGCGCAGACCCTGCTCCTCAGCCTGCAGCAGGTATTTGGGAGGGAATTGGCATGGGGCGAGGGAGGGGTGCCTGGCTGGCGGCCAATGAGGAACCCACTTTCTCCTCTTCTGTCAGCTGCTGACCGAGCTGCTCCTGGAAAAAGGGCCCGCAGGCATGGAGTCGGAGGCCTTCCAGGAGATCCGGGACCTGGCGCGGCGCTTCTCCCTGCTCTTTGGGCTGCATCAGCTCCAGAACCGCTCGGCCCTTGTGGCTCTGCACAAGTGAGGAAACCGTTTATTTATTTGTCATGTCAGGAGCAACCAGACATTTGTATTACATTTTTTTCACTTTCTTGGTGTCTATTTTACTCCTGTGAATTAGTCAAATTCAGAACTTTGATTCAATTGAGTGGATAGTTATATGAATTTATAAAAAAAATGAATTAATTGATTAATCAATTAAACTATCAGCCCACCAGGACCCTAAGATCTTCTGGAGAGTCCCTGCTCTCTATCCCACCGGCTTCCCAAGTGCGGCTGGCGGGAACGAGAGACAGGGCCTTCTCTGTGGTGGCCCCTCGGCTTTGGAACACCCTCCCTATAGAGATACGATCAGCCTCTTCGCTGATGGTCTTTCGGAAGAGATTAAAAACATGGTTGTGTAAACAAGCATTCAATTAGTTTGTTACTATTGAATTTATAGACTAAGGACTGGTTAATTATGGATGACGAACTCTGGACTGTGATTTTTGTGACAAGAAGCATGGTATTATTATTGGTGGCCCAATAATTTGTATTGTTTACGTGTTGTTGTTTTAAATTGTACATTGCTTTTAATTGCTGTAAACCGCAATGAGTCGCCGATTTAGGCTGAGATATTAGCGGTATACAAGTGTATTAAATAAATAAATAAATAAATAAATAATCAGTAATAAATAGAAAATTGTGGCAAAATAAATAAACACAATGTGTTCAATGCAATGGTTCACTGCCCATCATAGTGGATATTTCTTTTGTTTTTCTCGTTTAAAATAATCTTTATTAATTTTTCCATAAAAACATACAGTAACTGGGTGGGTAAGATAGAAGGGGGGTAGAAAGAAATAGAGGGGGTAGCAGCATAGAAAGGATAGAGAGTAGTCTGATTTATGGCTACTGAAAAATATATAGTGTGCCAGGTGTAGAAACTGAAATTTGAAAAAATGATTGTGAGGGAAGTGGGGTGTGATTGTTTTGAATCTGGCGTTGACTTCCCAGTATCTTTCGGAGGTTCTTCCTGTTCCTTCATTCCTTCCCTCAATTTTACTTTCCCTCTTTCGTTTTTCTTCTGCTCTCCCCTAATTTATATCTTCTTTCGGCTCTTTCATGTGATTATTTTCATATATTTATTTTCTCTACTAAATATATTGTTACTTGTTTCCAGTCTATTTCGGTTGTTGGAGTACCCTTTTTTTGAAAGTATATAAGTTAATTTGTCCATATTTCTTATATCAAGGATCTTCGTTAGCCATTCCTCTTCCTTCGGAGGATCTTTTTCTTTCCAATGTTTTGCATAAATTATTCTAGCTGCTGTCGTTAAGAGGAATAGGATTTTGTCCTTATTTTTTCCATTTTTATGTTGTGCATCCCTAATAAGAAGGTTTCTGGTTTCCAAGGTATGTCGATCTTCAGTATTCTTTGTAACGATTTTTGTATTTTTTTTCCAATAATTTGTCGCTTTTGGGCAGGTCCACCATAGGTGGTAGTATGTCCCTTCCTGTTTTCCGCACTTCCAACATTTTGTGTTCGTATTTTTATTGAATTTCCCTAACCTATGTGGGGTTATATACCACCTATGGGATATCTTAAACCAATTTTCTTTGAGTTCCATTGCTTTCGAGTATTTTAGCTTCTTATTCCATATTTCTTCCCATTCTTCTTTCTTTATCTCTCTTCCTAGGTTGTCCTTCCACTTCCTCATATAGGTTTTCTCCATTTCTGTGTCTCCTTCTCCTTTTAAGAGTTTTTTGTATATCTTTGAGGTTAATTTATTTTCCGTTTGCATTATTTTGTCCCAAAAGCATTTGTATTGCATTTTTAACAAAACAAACAAACAGACAGACAGACAAAACACGAAGTTTGCAAGCTTGGAAGCCATTACAATTTGTATATAAGTTAAGCATATTCATGATACCTTGTGAAGTCAGGATGACTTAGACAAGTTCCTGTGGCTGATAAAACTATCAGACAATTCATAGTCTGATACAACTATTTAAAAAATCCCAAGCAACAGGAATGAAGTAACGCAATAGTTGATTTGTTAATATTTATATAACTTGGGATAGCAAATATAAAACTATGTGGGTTGGTTTTGTTGTTTTGTTGGAGAGTATTTATTTGTTTGTCGTGTCAGGACAACCAGTCAAATATATCACATTTCTAACAGAACAAAGCAAACAAACAGACAAGATACAAAATTTGTGGGGTTTTGTAGTTGATTAGATGTCCTTTGACCAGTATCTGGCCACTTGGAGTGCTCTGGTGTTGCTGCAAGAAGGTCCTCCATTGTGCATGTGGCAGGGCTCAGGTTGCATTGCAGCAGGTGGTCAGTGGTTTGCTCCTCTCCACACTCGCATGTCATGGATTCAACTTTGTAGCCCCATTTCTGAAGGTTGGCTCTGCATCTCGTGGTGCCAGAGAGCAGTCTGTTCAGCGCCTTCCAAGTCGCCCAGTTTCTGTGTGCCCAGGGGGGAGTCTCTCATTTGGTATCAGCCATGGATTTGAGGTCTGGGTTTGAGCCTGCCACTTTTGGACTCTCGCTTGCTGAGGTGTTCCAGCGAGTGTCTCTGTAGATCTTAGAAAACTATTTCTAGATTTAAGTCATGACGTGCTGGCTGATACCCAAACAAGGGATGAGCTGGAGATGTCTCTGCCTTGGTCCTTCACTATTGGCTGCTACTTCCCGGCGGATGTCAGGTGGTGCAATACCGCTAGACAGTGTAATTTCTCCAGTGGTGTAGGGCGCAGACACCCCGTGATAATGCGGCATGTCTCATTAAGAGCCACATCCACCGTTTTAGCGTGGTGAGATGTGTTCCACACTGGGCATGCATACTCAGCAGCAGAGTAGCACAGCACAAGGGCAGATGTCTTCACTGTGTCTGGTTGTGATCCCCAGGTTGTGCCAGTCAGCTTTTGTATGACATTGTTTCTAGCGCCCACTTTTTGCTTGATGTTCAGGCAGTGCTTCTTGTAGGTAAGAGAACGGTCCAGAGTGACTCCCAGGGATTTGAGTGCGCTGCAATGCTTCAGTGGGATTCCTTCCCAGGTCATCCTCAGAGCTCGGGATGCTTCTGAAGGTGAAAGGCACATGTCTGTGTTTTAGATGGGTTAGGGATCAGCTGGTTTTCCCTGTAATAGGCAGTAAGAGCACCTAGAGCTTCGGAGAGCTTCTGTTCGACCATCTCAAAGCTCCCTGCTTGAGCAGTAATGGCACGATCATCAGCATAGATGAAACTCTCTGTCCCTTCTGGCAGTGGCTGGTCATTTGTGTAGATGTTGAACATGGATGGAGCAAGCACGCTCCCCTGAGGCAGGCCGTTCTTCTGTTTCCGCCATCTGCTTCTCTGGCCCTGGAACTCAACAAAAAAGCTCCTGTTGTTTTGTTGGAGAGTGAGGTATATTGAAAAAATTATTGTGAATAAAGAGGAGAGATCTTGTTTTAGACACAGTTTGTGATTTATATTGCTAAACAACAAGGGATAAAAAACTCTTCCTGGTTTTAAAAACACGCTTCTGTTTGCCTGTCTGCTCTTCAAATCAGACAAACTCCAGAGTTACTCAGATAACTAGAGTTCCTCATACACAGATGGAATCTATATAAATAAAAATGTAATGTTCGTTTGTGGGATTAACAGAACTCAAAAACCACTGGACGAATTGACACCAAATTTGGACACAAGACACCTAACAACCCAATGTATGTCCTTCACTCAAAAAATTGATTTTGTCATTTGGGAGTTGTAGTTGCTGGGATTTATAGTTCACCTATAATCAAAGAGCATTCTGAACCCCACCAACGATGGAATTGAACCAAACTTGGCACACAATTCTCCCATGACCAACAGAAAATACTGGAAGGGTTTGGTGGGCAGTGTCCTTTGGTTTTAGAGTTGTAGTTCAGCTACATCCAGAGATCACTGTGGACTCAAACACTGATGGATCTGGACTAAACTACACAAATACTCAGTATGCCCAACTGTGAACACTGGTGGAGTTTGGGGAAAAAACAATCTTGACACTTGGGAGTTGTAGTTGCTGGGATTTATAGTTCATTTACAATCACAGAGCATTCTGAACCCTGTTAGCGTCAGCAGATGTTTTGTAGAAGCTTAGAAGAAAACATGGACTCTGGAGTCATCTGGTATAAAGCAGGTTCAATTTTACTTAGAGCAGTTCCAAAACACAACCATTCTTGTAAGCGAGCAGACATGAAGTACACAGAACACAGGACAAAGGAAGTTGCAAATGTAAACAAACTTGCAGCTGGCTAGTGTTATCTCACAGATAGACACAGCTAGACATCCCAGGGTCACAAGTCACATTCTCACAGCTTGTTGCTTGTTTATGCTCTACTGCAGGGGTAGGGAACCTTTGGCCCTCCAGCTGTGGTGGACTTCAACTCCCACAATTCCTTGAGGCTCGGCATTGGGCCAAGGTAAGCCTTTGGGGCGAATGCCGAGCCTCAAGGAATTGTGGGAGTTGAAGTCCACCACAGCTGGAGGGCCAAAGGTTCCCTACCCCTGCTCTACTGCATAAACACACATCCTGGTAATACAATCCTATTGCAATCACATTGCTACAACATGAAATTATATTTAAACACATACATCATACACTGACAAACCCCACCAACAATAGAAGTGGGCCCCATGTGGGCCACAGCAACGCGTGGCAGGGGACGGCTAGTGCTAAGAAAAAAATACATTACAGAAGAGTTGGCTTTCCCTAATTCTTTCAGCTTAGTATACTCAGGAATTGAAGTTTTGTCTCTTTTTTAGAAAGTCTATACTTTTTTGTGCATTCTCAACTAAGAGTTGAGGAGACACCTTTCCTGCTGCTGCTGCCACCCCATCTCCATCTCTACCTCCTCTTTCTCCTTCCTTCTCAGGGCAGGGATCAAGTTTGCCTTCCAGGAGGCGGCCTCCCCGAGCGCCCAGCTGGGCCTGGTCCACCTGCCCTTCCTGGAGCTGTTGAGCGAGTTCTCCCCGCGACTGATGCATCCCGACAAGGCCCTCCTGTGAGCGCCTTTATTTATTTTTATTTTATTTACAGTACTTCTATACCGCTTTTCTCATCCCTAGGGGGACTCAAAGCTTTTGAGGGAGCCCTGCTGTGGGGGGCAGTGGCCAACCTTTCCTCGTTTCCTTTCCATGACAGTTAATGCCTGGATGTCCCCCACCATCCCCCCTCCTTCTCCCTTGCAGCTTGTCCTACCTGAAGAGGTTCTGCCCGGCTGCTCAGCCTGAGGAGCCCCACTGGACCTCCTTCCTGGTCTACCAGCGTTCCCTGAGCCCCCAGGCAGAGGAGCGGCCCAAGTCGGCCGCCAAGAGGAGCCGCCTGGACGGTGGGTGGAGGGATGTGCGCCCCCTCCCCCCAAATGGAGTTGCCCCTGTGGCTTGGGAGGGAGGGCTGCGCAGGGTCTCCTGGTGGGTAACCGTCTCCCTTGCCACTCTTTGCCAGGGTCCTCTTCCTCTGAGCTGCAGGCTATTGATGCCAGCCTCCCCTCCAGCAGAATCAGCAGCCGCATGCAGACCCCACTGCTGACCTCCACGGCCCTCAGGGTCAAGGGCCAGGCAAAGGGGGGCCTCCAGCCGAAGGGGCAGGTGGACTCCGAGGGCTCCGAGTCAGACTTTGTGCTCAGGTGAAGGGGCCCTGCCTGGCTGGGGGGGGGGGGGGGGGGGGGGGGGGGGGGGGGGGGGGGGGGGGGGGGGGGGGAGGGAAGCGCTCGCTTTTCTTTGATCACACACAGAGAAGGCCAGGCTGACTGCTTTGCTTGTGGTCTTTCCTTCAGCAGCAGCCACACTCCGCTGCCCTCCCAGGGGAGGCCCCCACGCAGACACCACCTGCAGCCACAGCTGCCCATGAAGAGGGACCACAGTGGGCTCCTTCTGGGCCGAAGACCAGACCGGTAAGAACTTCAGCATACCTTTACATTTTAGGTCTGCTCATATGTTTTCCACAAACGCCCCATCACTTTTTCGCCCATGTTCCAGCATTACTTTCCATTTTAGGTTCTTGTGGGTTTTTTCGGGCTATAGAGCCATGTTCTAGAGGCATTTTCTCCTGACGTTTCGCCTGCATCTATGGCAAGCATCCTCAGAGGTGGTGAGGTCTGTTGGAAGTAGGAAAATGGGTTTATATATCTGTGGAATGACCAGGGTGGGACAAAGGACTTTTGTCTGCTGGAGCTAGGTGTGAATGTTTCAACTGACCACCTTGATTAGCTATTCATGGCTTGGAAATGTTTTGTTGAAAGGTGTTAAGATGTGCCTGGTTGGTTCCTCTCTGTTGTTTTGCTGTTGTAATTTTAGAGTTTTTTAATACTGGTAGCCAGATTTTGTTCATTTTCATGGTCTCTTCTTCTGAATTGTACACAAGCAAGTGACAATTTCAACAGAAAGGAAGAGACCATGAAAATGAACAAAATCTGGCTACCAGTATTAAAAAACTCTAAAATTACAACAGCAAAACAGCAGAGAGGAAACAACCAGGCACATCTTAACACCTCTCAACAAAAGTTTTTCCCAGGCTCAGGCAGGCCTTCAAATGCTAATGAAGGTGGTCAGTTGAAACATTCACACCTAGCTCCAGCAGAGAAGAGCTCTTTGCCCCACCCCAGCCATTCCACAGATATATAAACCTATTGTCCTAATTCCAACAGACCTCACTACCTCTGAGGATGCTTGCCATAGATGCAGGCGAAACGTCAGGAGAAATGCCTCTAGAACATGGCTCTATAGCCCGAAAAAACCCACAAGAACCTAGTGATTCCAGCCATGAAAGCCTTCGACAATACTTTCCATTTTAATTTTACATTTGGCCTTTCCATAGTTTTTAATCGTGTGGTCTTATTGTTAATGTTGCATTATTGTATTGTCCATGTTTTATTTTTAATTGCTTGTATTGTTGTTATTACTGTTTGTATTGTTGTATTTGGGCTCGGCCTCATGTAAGCCGCACCAAGTCCCTTGGGGAGATGGTAGCGGGTACAAATAAAGTGTTGTTGTTATTATTATTATTATTATTATTATTATTATTATTACTCACCTGAGCCATTGAATGCTTGCCTTTTTGTAAGTGTAAACCACCCTGAGTCCCTTTGGGGAGAGAGGGCAGTCTAGAAATAATAATAATAATAATAATAATAATAATAATAATAATAATAATAATAATAATAATAGTAATAGTAATAAATACATTTATAACCCCACCATCTCCCCAAAGGGGACTCAGAGCGGCTTACATGAGGCCAAGCCCAGCGATATATTACAGCAACATAAATATAAACAACAAAATAACATCACAATAAAATAAATAAACCAATCAAGTAAAATAAACAGTACAAAATAACATAATAACATAATGGGAAATAAAACACAGTGGGCGGGCCAAATGCACGACATAAAATGATAAAACACTGGATGAGATAGCAATGAAAAGGTACAATTGTTGGGGAGTCATAATATTATATATTATTGTTATTTATATTATTATTATTATTGTTGTATTGTCGAAGGCTTTCATGGCGGAATCACTGGGTTGTTGTAGGTTTTTTCGGGCTATATGGCCATGTTCTAGAGGCATTTTCTCCTGACGTTTCGCCTGCATCTATGGCAAGCATCCTCAGAGGTAGTGAGGTCTGTTGGAACTAGGAAAATTGGTTTATATATCTGTGGAATGACCAGGGTGGGACAAAGGACTCTTGTCTGCTGGAGCTAATCACCTCTGAACAAAAGATTGCTCCAGGCTATCAAATGTTAATAAAGATGGTCAGTTGAAACATTCACACCTAGCTCCAGCAGACAAGAGTCCTTTGTCCCACCCTGATCATTCCACAGATATATAAACCCATTTTCCTAGTTCCAACAGACCTCACTACCTCTGAGGATGCTTGCCATAGTTGCAGGCGAAACGTCAGGAGAGAATGCCTCTAGAACATGGCCATAGAGCCCAAAAAAACCTACAACTACCCAGTGATTCCAGCCATGAAAGCCTTCGACAATTAAATGTAATTATTGCTGAACTTGCTGACTGAAAGGTCAGTGGTCCAAACCTGGGGAGTAGGGTGAGTTTCCGCTATTAGCCCCAGCTTAATAGGTCTGCTCATATGTCTCTCAACAAACGCCACTATCACCTGTTCGTCCATGTTCAGCACTATTTCCAATTTTAATTTTACATTTGGCCTTCCCATAGTTTTAATTGTATGTTGTCTTATTGATAATGTTATATGTTTATGTTTTATTTTAATTGCTTGTATTGTTGTGTTCGGGCTCGGCCTCATGTAAGCCGCATCGAGTCCCTTGGGGAGATGGTAGCAGGGTACAAATAAAGTGTTATTATTATTATTCTGTCAACCTAGCAGTTTGAAAACATACAAATGTGAGTAGATCAATAGGTACTGCTCTGGCAGGGACATAATGGGGCTCTATGCAGTCATGCCGGTCACATGACCTTGGAGGCGTCTATGGACAACGCTGGCTCTTCGGATGAGAAATGGAGATGAGTACCAACCCCCAGAGTCAGACACAACTAGACTTGACGTCAGGGGAAACTTTTACCTTTTTTATTGTATTTTAATCCACTTTACCACATTGTTCCTAATGAATTTTGTATTGTGCATTTAAAACTTGACTAAGTGTGGGATTCTTAGCTGCCTCGAGTCCCCAAGGGAGAAAGGTGGGGTATAAATAAAGTTAATAATAATACTGCTGGGGAGATGGAGGCAGAGACAACCCCCCTCCCTTCCCCATTTATGCCCCACAGGCAGCAGCTGATGGAAGCTGAAGAGGTCCTGATCGAGAGCCTAGAGAGCAGCGAGGTCGAGGAGGAAAAAGATGACGGCTTTGCCTCTGGACAGGTGAGGGGGGGCTCAATGGTTGTGGAGAGGGGGGGACATATGGACCCAGGCGGCCCATTTCCTGCAGCTCCTCTGTTAGGACTTCCTCTCCAGGAGGAGTTTTGGATCATCAGGGAGCTCTTGCTTTTTTTCCATGGAATAGTGCTGATGCTTTTCTCTTGCTTTTCCCCTTCCTTTTTATTTTGCCTGATCACACCAGGATTCCCCCCCCCCCCCCAAAAGGAGGGCCATGAGAGTGTGGGCTCTATCTACACCTGATTGATAGGCTCCCCCCCCCCCCCCGGATAGGCTAGCTGTACAGTGTTCTCTTGCTATTTGCGGCTCGCTTTTAGCGGATTTGCTGTTTCGCGGGTTTTTGAAAATATTAATATAAAATATTTACGTCCAGTGGAGGCCAGAGACCCCAGAAGTGCGGCAAGGAAGGCCTCCCTCCCTGGCCTGCTGCTGCTTGCATAACGTTGGAGGATCTGCAGGGGTCTGTGGAGGCCAGGGAGGCAGTCAGGCGCCTTTGGCACCGGGATTGTGGCGCAGCTGGCTGAGTGTCAGCTGCATTAAGATTACTCTGACCAAAGGGCATGAGTTCGAAGCCAGCCTGGGTTGGAGTGGGCTTCCAACCAATTGTGTAGCCGGTTGTCGACCTTTGCAACCCGAAAGACAGTTGCATCTGTCAAGTAGGAAAATTAGGTACCACCTTTGTGTGGGGAGGCTAATTTAACTAATATGAGGCCATAAAAAGACTCCAGCAAAAGCACTCCAGCAAAGCATGCGGGGAATGCGGAAGTACTTCATCAGTGTCGCAGATGGACGATGAAAGCGACAGCTCCCCTGGCGGCCAGAAAAAGTTAAATAGCCTCTGTGTATGTCTGTATACGTTGTATGTCAAATTGGCATTGAATGTTTGCCATATATGTGTACACTATAATCCGCCCCGAGTCCCCTGCGGGGTGAGAAGAAGGGCGGAATATAAATATTGTAAATAAATAAATAAATTTGGGAGAGGCCGGGCGGTGGGTAAGGAAGTGTGGGTAGGAAAATAATATATAAAATAATGTATAAATATTAAAATTAATATGACGTCCCTATTTCATGGATTTTCCCTTATTGTGGGGGGGGGGGGGTTCCTGGAATGCTTTCTTGTTTTTATTGATGTGTTGTTGGGCTTGGCCTCATGTAAGCCGCTCCGAGTCCCTTGGGGAGATGGTGGCGGGGTATAAATACACCCAGATTAGATTACTGCAACGCACTCTTCGTGGGGTTGCCTTTGAAGACTGTTCGGAAACTCCAACTAGTCCAGCGGGAGGCAGCCAGAGTACTTACAGGAGCGTCATACAGGGAGCATACTACCCCTCTGGTATGTCAGCTCCACTGGCTGCCGATTCAATTCCGAGCACAATTCAAAGTACTGGTTTTGACCTACAAAACCCTATATGGTATCTGTCCGAACGGATCTCCCTCTAGGTCCTGCCTCGGAGTTTAAGATCTTCTGGGGAGGCCCTACTCTCGGCCCCGCCTCTATCACAAGTGAGATTGGCGGGGACGAGGAGCAGGGCCTTCTCGGTGGTGGCCCCTCACCTGTGGAATTCCCCCGGGGAAATTAGATCAGCGACATCCCTCCTTTCCTTTAGAAGGAAATTAAAAACATGGATTTGGGACCAGGCGTTTGGGCAATCTGGCAGATAAATAAAGGACTACGACGACCGATAAGAATAGATAATGTAGAACGAAATATGGACTCTGAGTTGGCGAATGCTGAGCTTGAGATTGGTTTATTGACTGTGGTATATATTGATTGTTTTAATTGTTTTAATTGCTGTTTTACACGTTTATTCGTATTATTGTGTGGGCATCAAATTGTGCCTTTTTGTAAGCCGCCCTGAGTCCCTCCCTTAGTGCAGGGGTTGAGAAGGGCGGGGTAGAAGTACACGAAATAAATAAATAAATAAATAAATTTTATTATTATTATTATTAACCCCCCGCACTAAGTGAGGGAACACTGTACACGAGAAGCCTGTGTTGGGGGTGAGCTAAATGCAGACCTTTTGCTAAGTCCGGGAAAGGGCATTGTGTCCATTGAGGTCTCTCTCTTCTTTGCAGAACGACTGAGACTGTGTTGTCCCCATCGGTCAGTGCCTTGTGCCTCGGGGCCAGTTTGTGAGGCTGAAGTTGAGCGTCGCTTGCTCTTTCTCCCAGGCCACTTCCCTCAGAAGGAAGGTTGGAGGGGGCCATTGTGGGACTGTTTCCGTTGCACTTATTTGCAGAGTTCTGGGCTGTTTTCCTGGCTCTGCTTGTTGACTCCTGTTGGGATAAAGTTGTTTTGTGCCAAGCACCTGCGGGCTTGTCCTTCTCTGTCCCGGTGGCTGCTATGACCCCGCGTTGAGGCGTATGGCGTAGGCATCGCTGTGGGTCACGTAGCGCACCCAGCGGTGGGGGAGGCTGCTCTGGGGCCCCACGAAGCGCAGGAAGCGGATCTGCAGCCCCGAGCAGGCAAAGGCCGGCACCTCGAAGGACAGGTTGGCCGGGCCCAGCTCCCGCAGGCCTCCGCGGCTCAGGCCGGGCACTTCCAGCTGCGGAAAGGAGGCAGGAAGGCCATGAGAGGGAACAAGAGGCATCTCTAACTGACCTCGACCAGCCTCCCTTGCCCCACACTCACCTTAAAGAGGGCAGAGAGCTGGGAGCCCCCCTGGATGCGGGGCACGACCCACTCGACGGACTTGGTGCTGGTCTGCAGGGCGGCCGTCTGCTCAGGGCTGCTCAGTTCCTGGGAGAGGCTGGGTGGGAGGGAGGAACAGGCAAGTGATCATCCCCCTGCCCCAGTGGGGTGACCCCTCCTCGGCCTGAAAGGCAGAGGCCGGACATTGCCCAGATGGGCACCAGGATTACCTCAGCACTGCTTTGGGGACCGGGAGGTGGACATGGACGTTGACAGCATGGCTGAGAGAGAGAGAGAGAGAGAGAAGGGAGATGAGGGTCTCTCTGTATTTTGGGGTGCTCACATGTTGGGCGAGTGGGCTTATTAGCAAACACCCTCCTCATAAATGTACATCACCAACTTAGCAGGAGCAGTGTGACCCAAACCAGAAGCCCAGAGTAATCGAAAAGAACAAAAACACACAGACCAATGTTATTATCCCTTCCATAGGAGGCTTTTCTTTGTAGCCAAATAATATAGTAAAAGACGTAAACAAATACACAGTAGCCTTCATACTGGAGCTTTCTGACATGAGGCTTCTCTCACACAGAGGTTTACCTCACACTCCTCAGGACAACACTAGCTTTGGCCACTGACTCTTAACAGGCCTCAGTCTACCCGCTCTCCTCAGGACGACACTAGCTTTGGCTCACTGACTCTTAACAGGCTTTGGCCTACAAATTCTTCAGAACGACATTAGCTTTGGCCCACTAACACTATCTTTGGCCCACTGACTCTAACAGGCTTCAGCCTATCAACTCTCCTCAAGACGACACTAGCTTTGGCCCACTGACTCTTAACAGGCTTCGGCCTACTCACTCTCCTCAGGACGACACTAGCTTTGGCCCACTGACTCTTAACAGGCTTTGGCCTACTCACTCTCCTCAGGACGACACTAGCTTTGGCCCACTGACTCTTAACAGGCTTCGGCCTACTCACTCTCCTCAGGACGACACTAGCTTTGGCTCACTGACTCTTAACAGGCTTTGGCCTACTCGCTCTCTTCAGAACGACACTAGCTTTGGCTCACTGATTCTTAACAGGCTTCATTCAGCCTACACCCTCTCTTCAGAACGACACTAACTTTGGCCTACTAACTCTTAACAGGCTTCGGCCTACTCGCTCTCTTCAGAACAACAGTAGCTTTGGCTCACTGACTCTTAACAGGCTTCAGCCTACTCGCTCTCTTCAGAACGACACTAGCTTTGGCTCACTGACTCTTAACAGGCTTCGGCCTACTCGCTCTCTTCAGAACGACACTAGCTTTGGCTCACTGACTCTTAACAGGCTTCGGCCTACTCACTCTCTTCAGAACAAAACTAGCTTTGGCTCACTGACTCTTAACAGGCTTCGGCCTACTCACTCACCTCAGGACGACACTAGCTTTGGCCCACTGACTCTAACAGGCTTCGGCCTACTCACTCTCCTCAGGACAACACTAGCTTTGGCCCACTGACTCTAACAGGCTTCAGCCTACATACACTCTTCAGAACGACACTAGCTTTGGCCCACCTACTCGCTCTCCTCGGAACGACACTAACTTTGGCCTACTAACTCTTAACAGGCTTCGGCCTACTCGCTCTCCTCAGAACGACACTAGCTTTGGCCCACTGGCTCTTAACAGGCTTTGGCCTACTCGCTCTCCTCAGAACGACACTAGCTTTGGCTCACTGACTCTTAACAGGCTTCGGCCTACTCGCTCTCCTCAGAACGACACTAGCTTTGGCCCACTGGCTCTTAACAGGCTTTGGCCTACTCGCTCTCCTCAGAACGACACTAGCTTTGGCCCACTGGCTCTTAACAGGCTTTGGCCTACTCGCTCTCCTCAGAACGACACTAGCTTTGGCCCACTGGCTCTTAACAGGCTTCGACCTACTTACTTTCATTGCTTGACTTGCTTTTGTAATTAAAAAAACCCAGTTAATTATTAATGTTAATCTCCGACACACATATCTGCCCTCTCTGAAGGTGGCTTACCTCTTGGGTGGCAGGTCACAGCGGAGCTTGAGGTAGACTTGCACCCTACAGAAGGAGGAAAGCATGGGCAGAAGTGAGGGCACACCTGGCCTTTCCCACCTGCCCTGCAGCAATGGCAGCCAAGTGCCCCCACAATGCATATCGAGGCCACCAAAAACCCCCAAAGAGCTGAGGGAGGGGGCAATTTGGACCCAGCCCCCTCCCCTCTCCCCAGACAAAAGCACACTCACCGGCCACTGGGAAGGTCGTGGTGGACGGTGGGGAAGAGGTGGAAGGGCAGGGCGGTGGGGCAGTGGTCAGCCAGCTGGTACTGCATCAGGGTCAGCTGCTCAAAAAGAGGGGTGGGGGGGATCAGGATCCTCAATTGGACACCCACCCACTCTCTTGTGGTCCCCTCTTCCTCCCCCCCCCCCCCCGCCTTTACCTCCCCTTGGCTGGGGGTCACCCTCAGGACGCGGCTGCGCTCAAACTCATCCAGCCTCACGGAGCTGTGGAAGGAGCACTCGTCCACTCGGACCGCCGTACCGTAGCCTGGGCAGGAGAGAAGGGGGGCAGCTTCAAGGGGGGTGGAGCCCAAGGGGAGGGGGAGGACAAGGGAAGGGGCTGGCACTCACCCCGGAGCTCCATCTTGCCCACGCAGAACTCCTCCGAGAGGCCCACCCGCATCTCTGCAAGGGAAGCCATGGAGCTCGTCACAAACGCTTTGCCTCCTTGCGTTGGAAGGGGCTCTTGGGTCAGTTTGTCAATGTCAATTTTGAAGCTGTCAATCATGGGGTAAAGTAGGGCCCCCTCCTTCTCAGGGGCACGTGGTGGTGGGGAGGGGCAGAATTCCTCAAAGAAGAGCATGCCCTGCCTGCATAGGAGGAGCAGGAGAAGTGAAAGGAGATTCCACCTGAACATGAGGAAGAACTTCCTGACTGTGAGAGCCGTTCAGCAGTGGAACTCTCTGCCCCAGATTGTGGTGGAGGCTCCTTCTTTGGGGGCTTTTAAGCAGACTGGATGGCCATCTGTCGGAGGTGCTTTGAATGCAATTTTCCTGCTTCTTGGCAGAATGGGGTTGGACTGGATGACCCATGAGGTCTCTTCCAATTCTTTGATTCTAAGTGGAAGCTAATTCTTGATCCTAAACCTGGGAATCAAGGGCTAGGCCTGCTTAATAGCTCTCAGTCTGAGAGAGCCCTCAGTGGGAGAAAGCCTCAGTGGGAGAAGCTTCGGTGAGAGAAGCCCCAGGTTGAAGGCCATCGTGTGTGAAGCTCCAGTGTGAAGGTTGAACTTTGTGTTATGTAAACCTTGTTTTTGTACCTAGAATCAATGGGCCATCATCCAGTCCAACCCCATTCTGCCAAGAAGCAGGAATATTGCATTCAAATCACCCCTGACAGATGGCCATCCAGCCTCTGTTTAAAAACTTCCAAAGAAGGAGCATCCACCACACTCCGGGGCAGAGAGTTCCACTGCTGAACGGCTCTCACAGTCAGGAAGTTCTTCCTCATGTTCAGATGGAATCTCCTCTCTTGTAGTTTGAAGCCATTGTTCCATTGCATCCTAGTCTCCAGGGAAGCAGAAAGGAAGCTTGCTCCCTCCTCCTCCCTATGGCTTCCTCTCACATATTTATACATGGCCCTCATCATGTCTCCTCTCAGCCTTCTCTTCTTCAGGCTAAACATGCCCAGCTCCTTAAGCCGCTCCTCATGGGGCTTGTTCTCCAGACCCTTGATCATTTTAGTTGCCCTCCTCTGGACACATTTCAGCTTGTCAATATCTCTCTTGAATTGTGGTGCCCAGAACTGGACACAATATTCCAGGTGTGGTCTAACCAAAGCAGAATAGAGCACGGGGAGCATGATTTCCCTAGATCTAGACACTAGGCTCCTATTGATGCAGGCCAGAATCCCATTAGCTTTTTTTTTGCCACCACATGACTTTCCTGGTTCACGAAGGACTCAAAGGTCTTTTTCACATGTACTGCTCTCGAGCCGGGCCTCATTGTCCCCCATTCTGTTTCTTTTTGCATTTCCTTTTTTCTGCCTAAGTGGAGTCTCTTGCATTTGTCCCCGTTGAACTTCATTTTCTTAGGGTGAGGCAGGGCCCGGTCTCCTCTGAAACAGACTAGATGTTTCTCTGAGGGGTGGAGGCTGCTGAAAGAGGGGGCTCCCGTAGGAAATGGGGTCCAGCTGCAGGGGTTTTGCCACCCTTTGTCCCTTTTTGCCCCCCAGTCTGTCCACAGATTGTTTTGAATCCTGCTCCTGTCCTCTGGAGTATTGGCTCTCCCTCCCTATTTGGCTATCCCTCCCAATTACAGTGCAAGTAAATTATTTTGCTATCAAGAAAAGCCTCCTAAGAAAGATATAAAATTGGTCTCTGGTTTTGTTCTTTATATCACTTTTTATTACTGATGCTCAGTTATGCTACTGCGAAGAAGTTGACTCTGCTGTACATTTATAGAGAGGGTCTTTGGTTAATAAGCTCACTCGCCCAACAACACTTGCACTGTTTACTCACCGGAGCAGTTCGGGAAGAAACTCTTGAGCCGGATCTCTCCTTGGATGTCGACTTTCATGGGTGTTCCCTGGGGAGGGAAGGCCAGAAGGCTCAGTTCCACCCAACCAATTCAATGGAGGCTAGGAAGAGTGGCCCTATCTCCCCGAATGAACTGGCCCCCTAACTGACTCACATTGGCCGCAATGATCACCGTGAGGCGCTCCACCAGGTCCAGGAAGACCTCTGGCCGGGAACCCTGGGAAAGAGGAAGACACCAGTTGGACCAATGGTTCTGGATGAACAAATCCCCTTCACCCAGATTGAGGAATATGAGGTATGTTTTCTTACCTGTTCCCCGCGCAGGGAGAGGGCTGGCCGGGCAGCGGCAGAGCTGGGGGCCACCTTGCTCTGCTGTGTGTCTGCTCCAAACTGCAAACGCAAGAAAGGACCGTGGTTAGAAGCAAGCCCAAGTTGCGAGGGTTGCAAAACACCCCCTTCCTGGGACAAGGCTGTCAATGGGTCTGCTTGTTTTCCTGGAGGAAGGGAGCATTGGTCTAACCAAAGGGAAAGTCTAACCATTGCAGCAGGAGAGGGAATCTGGGGAATCAAGTAATCCAGTACTTTGCTATAGTGTCATAGAATAGAATCATAGAATCAAAGAGTTGGAAGAGACCTCCTGGGCCATAATCCAGTCCACCTCATTCTGCCAAGAAGCAGGAATATTGCATTCAAATCACCCCTGACAGATGGCCATCCAGCCTCTGCTTAAAAGCTTCCAAAGAAGGAGCCTCCACCACACTCCGGGGCAGAGAGTTCCACTGCTGAACGGCTCTCACAGTCAGGAATTTCTTCCTAATGTTCAAATGGAATCTCCTCTCTTGTAGTTTGAAGCCATTGTTTCCTGTCGTAGTCACTGTGAATCGTACATTTGGTATCTGAGCGCATGCGCAGTACAGCTTTCGGAACCTTCTAGATAAAAATATAACAATTTTAGAGCCCACTAGCCCCGCCCCCCCTCCCCTCGAGTATAAGTAGCCCGAGGGCGGGGCTAGCCAGCAGTTCTCTTTTCCGCGCTATTGCAGTAGCTTGAGAACCTCTCTCTCTCTTTGCGAGCTTCTTGGATTGAATCTGAACGTTTGGATTGGACTGTTTTTGTGACTAAGGTATTGGACTCTGATTTGGACTCTGTTTGCTGGCTATAGACCCGGACTGCCTGACCATTCCTTTGGCTGCCTCCCCTCACGTGCTTCAGCGTGATGGCTACTACCTCCTTTAAGCGCTGCTCCAAGTGCCCTAACACCTACCCGGATACCGATGGGCACTCCCTGTGCCTGCAATGCCTCGGAGAGGGGCATCTTACCCAGGCCTGCTCAGTCTGTATGGCCTTTACGCCACAGACCAGAAAAAACCGGGAGCTGAGGCTTAAGGCGGCACTTTACGAAAGGGCCCTACTCCCTCCTGCCCCATCACCGCAGCAAACGGCCCCAGCACTCTCTGCTGTGCCCCTCTTGGATCAGGCTATAGGGCTGGCTAAGAAAAAGGCCAAAAGGCCCAAGGATAAGGCCTCACAAGATGGCCGCGAAACAGCTCAACGTAAAAGAGCTGCTCCAAAA